CCGATTATGCACTATGATGATGCGGACCAAGCAGAATCAAGTACAATTGAGTACTAGGTTTGAGTATGGCTGCTAATCTTGATTCTATTCTAGTATCTTAAACACATAAGAAATTTAATGTTCTTTTCACCATTTCCTTAACATGCTCTCTTTTGACATCACTCATTTCCATGTTACTATTGATTGAAAGGCACTTTAAAATTACTCAAGATATTCATTGTTCTCATTGACTGAGTTCTTTATAAGGTATATGTAACACCAGTCAAAGGTAGTTCAAAGATAATTCCCACAAATATAACAAAAACATATTATAATCAATTTACTTTATTTTCATTCAACACTACAAAGTCTATACGATTCTAGAAATATATAGAACATCTAAATCTGATTTCGCATGAAGAAGTTATGACAAATTCTAACACTATAGCCTCCATAACAAGAGGAATTTAAAATAGACTTAGATTTAGCTATTGGAGTCTAAAAGAAAGTTGTAGTAATCGAAAATAACTATACGTGGATATAAAGAATGTCAAAAATGGAGCTCGTATGCAAACGTTATGATCTTCCGAAGATGTAGCTGTCTAAGGGCATGATACGTGGCAGAAACCCTAGCCGCCTTAAGTCCACGACGTAAACATTAAGTACATGACATGAAACTAGCCAAGGACACTAATCGAGGCTAGAAAGCACATGTTTAGGCTACGAGATGACTCATGAAAGTTCACGATGTGACCATAGGTATGTCACGATGTGAATGGGCCCAGAACAACCTATAAATAGCGATCAAAGCTCATTAATTCCTTACACCTTCTCCTTTCATTCTCTCTCATTTTTTAAGGTTGTTTCCCTTCCTGAGCCTGACAACGACGAGCCTCTGACCATTTAGATTCTACATATCATGCTACTAGGGTGAGTTTCACGACCCTACTTTTCAATGTTTTCAGTGGAAAATGCATGCTTGTATAAAAGTTAATATTATGTTTATATGACAGTATGTTCGTATCAATATAGATAGTTATATTAACCAGGATATAATTATTTTGCATCATTATACTAGAATATATCTGATATATTGCAAACATACAACTATCTTAAACTAATTAGCACATTATTATACTAATGTCGGCCCTGAGTTATACTCGGGAATTCTATATATATTATGTGTGATGTAGCCTCGGAATTAAACTCGAGAGCCATATATATATATATATATATATATATATATATATATATATATATATTAATTGTTAAGTATGCTGTTAGTATTGGTTTTATGTCAAGATAAAACCTGGTATGTTATTAGTATAGCCCTGAAGGTATATTCGGCAGTTTTATATATATTTGTTAGGTATATTGTTATTATTGGTTTTATGTTAAGATAAAACCTGGTTTAACCTCAAGTTATAACTGTTCTACCTCCTAAAATACTATGAAATTAGGAGTAATGTTTAAAAGCATAGTCTAGTAACTTAGGGTTTTAGACACAAATATGCTTTTGTTGTTAGAACTTTAGGAGGCCGTCAAAGTCTACATGATCTATTATATTCATTAACTAAGATTTAGAATCTTAAGGGAAATCCTCCGACCTGTAACCGTTGATCCCGTGTGAACGAGGAAGTCGTGTATGGAATTATACGGGTTGACAACACCACTCGTTGTTGTTAACTACAACCTATATTTAGCGAGTGACGAACTGTCCCTTTATTTATTTATTGATCCGACATCGATGAAGCGCACAGTGTTTTTATGTGACATCCCCAAAATCATGGCCATAAAAGACCGATTTAATTTATGCTTTTAAAATAATTTTCAGAGTAATCGTTTGTTTAAAAGAGTTGCGAAATTTGTTCCCAAAACACAATATGATAAAATAAAGTTTATCAAAGCATTTATTAAAGAAATGTATTTTCATATATAACAAAGCTCGGGATGTCATGTTCCGATACATAGCAAAAGCATAAACGACACATTATAAGCCTTACAACAGTTATATACAACTACTGGCCTATAAACAAAATAAATTGATGATTCATCCATCTTATTCTCTCGCGCCACTACCTATAATACAAATAAAACTGAGTGGGTGAGGCTTGGGAGCCTGGTGAGCATTTAGGGTTTTCAATCCACAATAAATAATTATATTTAATTTCACTAACCAACAATAACCCGATTACTCATTCCTGTTATCCTCACTTTACGTCCCTAAAACAACATCTATTACCAGGAACCTAATTTAGGATTTTCATCGGGATAGACATTACTGCAAAGGGGTTTCCTCAACAATAGATGTCTTGAAGGCAACCATGAGGGGGATAGAGTACATCGGTGAACACATCGTTCACAACACCTACAGGTTATGAACCTGCCAGTGTTCCACTAGACAGTCTAGAAAGAGTATGTGGTCTTCATCCATACTCCGCTAGATAACTAGATTAACAACAACATCGAGGCCTCTCATCATTTTATTTCATCACACACCAACTATCTACCCATGTTCTACCCAACATACTAGTAGATAAAATATACATATTTTATACATAGTTTAAAACTTGTATAGCATTTTAATTCAATACTCATTCCAAATAACAGATGATACATATACACATAACACATATTCCATAGAGTATAATTCATACATGTGTATTATCAGAAAGCAACTACACATTTACTCATATCATATATCTAATACATTCATCAATACTTGTATTAAAATCGTGTATATGAAAGGGACTATGCACTCACTTGATAAGGCGATGATCGGACAGCACTACGGCTGTTCAAGCAGTATTTTTCGGCGAAACTGTGATCTCTTCACACATCGGGCTTCTTGCGGGCAGAGCGTTGGCTCCGAAAATCTTTTCTTCTTGGGATCTTTGGAGCTTCGGGACTTGCTTCGGGTCTCGAGATGATATCGGGGCTTCGGGGGTATAACTTGCACATAAATCGAGGTAATATGGAGTGAGAGGAGAGAAATTGAGCAACCAATTCGGTTGCACTCGACTTCTATTTATAGGGAGCTGACTTTCTATGCTCGTCGTGAGCTCGAATATATCACTGCGTTTGTCATCAGGCCAGTTGTTCCGGAACACGTCCATCACCTGCTCACCTCGTGAACACTATGCTCACGTCGTGAACTCTGACACAAGTGGAAGTTTGTGCCCGAACTTCATAAATTCATATCTTTCGCATACAAGCTCCATTTTTGACATTCTTTATATGCACGTGTAGGTGAGATTATGCTCTACAACTCTCGTTTAGACTCCGTCGGCTAATATTGACTTTAACTTTTAGTATATTATTTTTAGTAGGCCGAGACAGGAAAACTTCGTTAGAAATTCATAACTTCTTCATCTGACGTCCGTTTTCGTCTGTCTTTTTACCGTTGGACTACTATCGACAAGATCTTCAATTCTCATTTAGATTGTTCCGGTTAGAAACCACTCGACCTCATATTCAAACTTTGGGTTGCATACCGCTAAGTCGAAACTTAGAAGTCAGATTCAAACTTTGGGTTGCATACCACTCGACCTCATATTCAAACTTTGGGTTCTTCTTATGCACGCTCTCGGTTTAACTTATTCTACGACTTTTGTTTAGATCACTAAGGCTAAATATTGCTCTATCGTAAACTCACTATTTACGTCATGCAGTGTCACATCGGTTTTGTCGCGAAACTTCAACAGGTCATAACTTCTTCGTTACAATTCGGATTTCGGTATTCTTTATATTTTCGAAATCCTTGTCACGACCACTACGTCTTCATGTATCGATATGGGTTTTGTATAACATTTTATTATTACACTTATTATTGTTCTTAATTCATTTAAGTCACACAATTAAGCATAAAACACGTAATACTGAAATAATACATTCTTATTATTTCAAAATGAGTTACAAAGGTTAACCTAGACTATTGCATCAATATTAATGTCTAGCCTAGAAACACGGGCGTTACATTTTATACGGGTCGTCTCCTTTATGGTAGCTCGGGCATAATATTTTATGGCATCGATGGTGGAAATCCTTCGTGGAACAATTTGTGGGATTTATTTTTGTCAAAGGTCTTGTATGTCATAACAGCTGTTCCAGACTCATGGTAGCAAATTATTAGAAACATTATACTTTGTTGATATACAAGTATTAATGTTAAGTATAAGTTTCCCAATCACTTATAATCTAGGTACAAGGAATTTATAGGTAAATAATATTACCTAGTATATATACTCGTATAGAATTTAAATACGATTTATATGTAGTAACCTTTCTTGATTTAAGTATATGAAGATTTTAGGTATATAACTTATTTAATAAGGAAACTATTATACTTAGGATATATACTATATGTTAGATATGAGTCAGGATGACTCTTTTATACTATGTTCTATACTTTCTAAACTTGGAAAAAATACTATTTTATATGAAATCAAAACCTATGGACTTACCAACTTTATGTCAAGGTATTTTCAAAACGCATGTGTTTTAAGGAACATGATTTTATATCATCAATAAATGTATGTGGTGTATAAAACTCTTTTGTACTGCTTAATATATGTTATATAACTATGATACAAGAAATGACGTTACACCGTCCGGTGTTTCCGCTGCCGGTTGGGGGTATGAAAGTATATATTCCCATTTCAAACTTAAACTAATTGCTTCAACGATGTGAAACATTTTTAGACCTCTAAAGATGTATATAATAAGTCATTTGTCACCAATCGAGGGGAGCCACTCTTAGCAGGAAGATTAAAATTCCTCTAATTAAAATGAAAAATATTAAAGTTAGTGTCTCTTTTCCAAATCCATCTATTGATAACTCTAGTGATTGCATTTTCTACTATATTTTATCTTCATGTGGTACTCACAATGACTGTTTAGGCATGCTTTTTTCTTTCCCTTCAGATTGGGAGCATTTTGCTTTCTTCCTTGGTCCTCTCTCTTTCCATTAATTTGGATGTTCTTCATTTATGTCATAATTGTCTTAAAAATAGTACAATCATCGTCAGCATCCATATTAACTATGATGCTGAAGATATTCATCTAGAACATCCACAATAAATGTTTAATATAAGAGATCATTAAGAATGACATATGAGAATGATCATGACATATAAAATAACAATAGACGGATCGCACTCGTGAAAGTGCTTGACTTTTGTCCCTGACATTCATCGCGTTCTCCGCTTCATCAAATTTATCTTTTTCAGACACAAATCTTCTTCGTTCCTGCGACATGTACTATCACTACTGACCTATTTCTTCATCGTACTCCCATCGATGTTCGAGACCGCTACTAGATATGTGGAAGAGGTAATGTTTTCTGTCTTTTTGTCCACCTTTGTGAGTTTGAATTAATAAAGTTACAGTATAATAGAACTACAGATCAACTTATATTCTTTAGTAATCCGTTGGGCAGAGATCCATGGATGACTCTACTTGCCTTTTATGTATCTTGAACATACCTATACACGAGAAGGTTGATCTTCTCATAGGCCAACCTATCGAGTCGTGGATCACAACATCTGATATTTTAAAGGGCGTCGCATCCTTGATATTTGACTATGCTGTTCTCGAACCTACGTTTTACCCCATGTTTGCTCAGTTGTGTTCGCATCTCAAAAGGAAGCTCGGCCCATTTCCCTCCGACGAGCCTGGTGGAGACGAGATCACATTCTGGCGAGTTTTATTGAATACATGCCAGGAGGCTTTCGAAAGATTAGTCAAACTGAGGGGAGAAACAAGGCCAACAATCACCACTTCTGACCAAGAGTCCGAACGTAGTTGTAGAGATAAAGAAAGAATTGTTAAGCAACGTGGTTTCGGAAGCTTCTGTTTGATTAGCGAGCTTTTCAAACAGAAGATTATGCCTGAAAAGATTGTTCATCAGCTTATCCAGGAATTGTTTCGAACACTGTTGGATCTTAAAGAACAAGAAGAAATGAAGGTGAACTCTCTCGTGATATTATTGATAATGAAACTGAAATACATTGGACTCTTTAAATACTTGCATGACTACAACTGAAAACAAAAGACTAGGCATAAAATCAGGAACAGCTTTAACAAGTAAACTATCCGTTATTCTGATCACATGAGAGAGAGAATCATTCTTCAACAAAAACACTTCGTTCCTATTCTTTATAGAGTTAACAGTTAAGGATAATTTGTATGACATAACGGTTCGTGTAAACAGGAGCTACCCGCTATTCTGGAGGAGGAAAATGTGGAGGCCCTATGCCAGTGTTTGCATATAGTAGGCAAGCATCTTGATGAGAACCCAAAATCGAGGCGTATAAACGATCGTTACTTCAACAGACTGATAGAGCTGTTAACGAAATTAAGACTCTCCCCACGGATAAGATCTATTGTTCGTGATATTCTTGATCTTCGCTCGGATAAATGGGTTCCCAAGCCAGAAGAGGTTACCTTTGTTTTTTTCTTCTATCTCGTCTTTGTTTTTGGTGTGTTATATCTGATGATCTAAGCTGGTTTTCAGGAAAAAGCTATCATATTTACGAAGATCCATAAATATAATGAAGAGAAGAACACGAGACTTGGTCTTGGTTCTACTTCGTCGAACATCCCTGAATCTCAACCACGGAAGAAACCATTGGTAAATCAGAGATTTCCGCATCCAAGAGTAGCCAGTTTCACCATCGCTACATATAATGCCCTGGTGTATGCAAATGGTGGTTTTACCCCTCTTCCTTCAGAGGAATACTTTTGGTATCCCGTAGACTATCAGGTGTCTATTCGAAGTCAATCCAAATCTGTCAAAGCGGCTACTCTTTCCGGTGTGAATAAAGCAGATGAAATCAAGAGAATAACAATCTCTCTCGTTAACGAATATTTCAGTGTTCTTATTCTTGATGATGTTTTGCAATTCGTAGAAGAGCTAAAACCTCCGCATGACTTCCCGGAGTTTGTGAAGGAAGCCATTTTACTCTTCTTAGACAGAAGCCCACCATGTGTCGAACCCATGGCTAAACTCCTGGACTTCATGTTATTGAAAAAGATTCTGGTCAAAAGCGACTTAAGAACTGGATGCAGAAGCTATGCATCGCTGTTGGATGATATCGCCATGGAATTACCACAAGCAGCCAATGATTTTGGGGAGGTTATGGGACATTTGGTGTTGTTTCGTGGAATAGATTTCAAGGTTGTCGGAGAAGCTATAGATGAAATTAAAGAGCACTACTACTTTCGACACTACTTGTTTGATGGAGTGATGAGGATTGTTGGTTCAAGTTCTTCTGCGAATGTCCTCTTGACTGCACAAGCGGATGATGTTGCTGCATGCAAAAGCCTCTACTGAGTGTATCAAATACCTAGTAGCTGCGATGGTTGCCTAGTTGGAAATATATTACTATGATTTTAGCTGCATATATGATGTCTTGTGTGAAAAGAGATGCGTCAACTTCAACAATGAATTTTGGAACATTTTTTGTATGTAAATTTGGTGTACTTGGTTTATTATCGGACTTTGACAAGTTCAGAAATCATAATTGTACTGCATTTTACTGAAAAAAATTATGTTTAATATTTGATTTGGTCTCTGAAGTGTGAAGATATTTAAATAAGACTTCAATTTCAAAAGAGGTTTGATCTCAGGTATTATGAATGTCAACCAAATTAGTCCTTGTTATTTACAAGACTTAGTTGGTATGTTTTGACAATCCTAGCCATGCAATATCTTGTTGATAGAGGTAAAGAAAGGCAACGTGACTCCTCACACTGCGATCCGCGTCAAATGAACCTCATCCATCCGATATGTTTTCAATCGAAAGGTTGTAGAGGAATGCGAAAACGCGCTGACTTTTCCCTCCAAGGTGTCGCCGCTATTGTCTGTCGCCGCTGAAGCCCGTTGCAGATAACCCCCTACAGCTTCCTTTTCTATGTCGTTCTTTCTGTCCCTATAGCCTTTTCTCTCATTTCTTTCTCCTTTCTGTTTCTTTCTCACTGTCACGACGAGGACGAGGGTGGAAATCGGCGACATTCCCCAGCTATAGTTGCTCCTGCCGCCAGAAGACCGCCACCTTCCCCCAATTTTCCATTACCGGCAACTTAGCACTCCATACCAGCAACCCATCAGCTCAATTACGAAATTGCCCACATTGAAGGTCGAATTCCTTCCTATTTTCTTTAATTTTTCTGTTTTGGTGCTAATTTGGATGATACATTGTAAGTATTCTTCAATTTTGTTGAGTGATTATGTTTGTATTTTGAGATATGAAGTGTATGCATTTTGTGGGATTTATATATGTTATGAAGTGTTTATGCATTTTATGGGATTGTATATGTTTTTTTAGATTTGTAGGAAGTGTTTATGCATTTTGTATATGTTTTTTTTTATTTATGTTTATACCACATTGGCTTAAAAATGAAATTTGGCATGAAATTGAAATTGGATGTATATATACCTTTGTTTGATTTTTATATGTATAGATCTGTATGAAATTGAAATTGGATGTATGCATTTGTTTAAAATTGGATGTATACATTTGTTTGGAATTGTATGCTTAATTGTATGAAATTGGAATATGCAAGTTGTATTGTATGTCTAAAATGAAATGAAAATTGGAATTGAATGTATTGTATACATTTGGTTTAATTGTATGAAATTGGAATATACAAACTGGATGTATACATCTGACTTAATTAGGTTATTAATATCAATTTACTTCTAGTAATGTATACATTTGTTCATGTGTTCCTGTATTGGGATACTTTTTGAATCATAGACTTTATGAATATTCTATTTGATTATTGTTTCCCGTAGAGTAAACGTTAAACACTAAATTATGTTTCAGCTGCATCATATCTATTGATAAAATTTGGACTGCTAATCCACATCGTTAATCTCCCGAGTTCCAGCTAGGACTCAACTCTTTTGTCAATAGATCCATGTTACACCTAGATTGTAAAGGTGAAACCAGATGTTCGTGTGAGAAATGTGATAATCGTTACTTTATGGATCTGAAAGCAATGAGACATCATGTTCGTATATATGGTTTCAATCAATCATTCAAAACGTGAATATATCACGGTGAACCTTTAATCCCTCCAGTTGTAGATGTCGTATCGCTAAGCAACGAGATGGTTGATGTTATTGACGATGTTATGTGGGAGTCAAGAGAAAATGATACAAGACTCGATGAAGGAACCTTGAATACAGGGGGTAATGGTGTTGATGATGATTTTGAACAGTTGATAGAGGCAGCTGAAACCAAGTTATATCATGGTTGCAAGTTTTCTTTCCTTGATTTTTTAGCAAAGCTGATGCATATCAAGGTCAACAACAAATGGACTGATAGTTCATTTGATCAACTCCTTGAGTTGTTGCATTTGGCATTTCCACCAAACAACAAGGTTCTCCTTTCATATTATTTAGCAAAAAAGAAACAGAAGAAGTTAGGTTTGGGGTACGAGTCAATATATGTCTGCAAAAACGATTGTTTTCTCTTCTGGAAGGAACACGAGTTATTGCAAGTTTGTCCCGTTTGTAAAGAGAGTTGGTGGATTGATAAAAACGTCATGATGGTCGATGTTATGGGGCTTAGACATGGAGGTGATGGAGTCGGGGATCCACCACCTCCAGAAGGCTTTGGTCGTGGTCAGCACGAACAGGATGGTAAGTTTTATTATGATATATTTATTAGTTATTTTTATTATTTTATTATAAGTTATCGTGACTAATATTTTTAATTGTATTTTTTTCAGTCGAGTTTCCAAAAAAAAGAAGGGGAATGTCAAAAAATTTCGAGCTAGGAAAGTTGATAAGGGCAAACAAGGGAAAGCCTGTGGATTTGGATTTCAACAGAGAGATCACATATTTCCTCGTCGGGAAGCGTGGTAATTGGTTCACACATGAAATCGGGAGGTATTTGTTGAACAACGTCCCTTTCAACGTATCTGGTTGGGACAATGTTTCCCCCGCATTAAGGAACGCAACAGTTGTGCATCTAAAGGTAACTTGGATAAAATTTTAAGTTTAGTTGTGATTGTTATTTAATTAACTAACTTTTTTATATTTGTATAAATTGATTTGGATAAGGTTAACGTAGATCCGGAGCGTGCTCAATTGTTGCGGAACATTGATTCGATTCTTTCAAAAGTTTACTGAGGCCGAAAAAGTAAAGTCCATTCTTATTTTAAGGAAATCGGGGGGGGGGGGGCTGCAGTTATCCCAGCCGCATTAAACAACCCCCCCCCCCCCCAAGGGTATGTCGCCTGAAAATTGGGCAAACGCAATCGAACATTTTCAAACGCCATAATTTTTAAAGCGTTCGGCGTCAAACACAGAAGTCTGTGCAAAATAAGTAGTTGTAAACAGAGGGTCTTACACCAAATGTCATAGGAACCCCCGCATGGTCTTAGCCTACTGCCACTGGAACCCCTCGGGGTCATCCTTGCAAGTGTCACAGAGACTGCTAGCATATCATATATCACATAACTAACTCATATACCCCTGGCCCAGTATTATCCAAAAATAAGGCCCAAGCCCAAACCAAACAAGCCTAAAACTCCAAAATCCATAAAAGTCCATTAATGGCCCAATTTTCCAAATTGGGCCCAAACCCTTGCATGGACCTTACCCTAAAGCCCAATAACTTATTCCCAAATAATAACACAAACCTGAAATGGACCATAAAGCCCAATAAGTCCCAATCCATCATGGACCTCACCCAAGAAGGCCCAATATCAAAAGAAGGCCTGAAATACTGAGTGATCAACCCTAGTCAACTCCTGGTCCAAGGTCAAATTCAACGCTCCGAGTTGACCGAACTCGTCGAGTTATCCCTGTAACTCGTCAAGTCCATCCCAAATCCAGAATCACGATATTGCGATCCAACTCATCGAGTTCCTCTGTTTCCAACAAAATTGGGATAATCCCGAACCAACTCGTCGAGTCCACTCATGAACTCGTCGAGTTTTTCAGTCTGCCACCCCACTTAATGCATTAAGTCCTTTTTCTTGAATTCAAAGGTTCCAGACCTCAAATCCCCATCCTTAGAGATGTCTGGAAGGATAAAGTTTCCAACTTTACCCTTAAGGATCATCTAACAAGCTCTAAACCCAAACCCTAGTTCCCTTAAGGAAGGTCTTGACCCATTAAGCCCTTAAACTCTCACTCCAATCTCCCAAAACACAGATCTGAGGTCCTAAGGTAGTTTAATCACGTAAAGTTTCCAACTTTACGTCCGTGCATGCTTGTAACACTCTCTAAGGTCCACTTTGGCTTCATAATGGACATATTTCATGAATGGGACATGGAGGCTATTAAAGTTTGCAACTTTAATCCTCTAGAGGTCGTGTAGGGGCCAGATCTACATCCTCAACCCCTAGAAACCTCTCTTCTTTGGATACACAAGAAAAAGTCCCAAAACCAAGCCAAAACTACAAGAAATGAGATCTACTAAACTACATGTCAAGGTTGTGACTTTATACCTCTAAGATGCAGCCTTTGAAATAGACTTTATGGATCCAAGATCACTCCCCCAAGCTAGATACTTCTCTCTTCAAGAATCACTCTCAAGCTCTCAAAACTTCATGAACAGGTGTAGAAAACAATATAGGGTTTCTTTTGGGCAAGGAAGGTTGGTAAGGAGGCCAACCCTAGAAGTTAAGTCCCTTAAATAGGGTACAATGCCCAAAAATTCTGGTTTTCAACCCCAGTGTTAACTCGTCGAGTTGGACTTCCCCAAATCGTTGAGTTGGTCTTCCAAAAACATGCATGACAAATTTTCGACACATCAAGCTCTTCCCCTTGAACTCGACAAGTTGGACTTAAAATGAAGTTTTACCTTCCTTAATTGACATTCTAGATTCCGGGTGTTACATACCCCCTGGTATGTGACGCTTTCTTAATCAAAAGATAGGAGACCACCTCTTCTCCCGAAGTTACGGGGTCATCTTGTCGAGTTCCTTCGACATGGTTCTCTTAAGCGCCCTAGTATACTCTACTTGTTCAGCGGTGTCGGTTTGGGGAACGATCAGTTCACCGGGAGGATCGCCCTCCCAATTCAAAGTTTTTTCCACGAAGTTTCAATCTTGTTGACTATGACAACAGTCGCAACTATAAACAGACTCGCGACTATGGCAGGGTGGTATGCTCTACTCTATTGCGACCCCTACTCTAATCAAAAGACTAAAGGCCCCTACTTAATATTCAAAGGGTGAGCACTTAAATGAGAAAGGCTTGTAGACTCGTAACGTTGAACGAGACATTCGAAAACTAAAGCACACACTAGAAAGTGATTCGAAAAGTGTCAGCAAGTGTGCGGAGTCGGAGCCCGGCATGTTTGCCCGCTGGGTCGAGTGTTCGTTGTAACTCCCATAGATCTGGGCTAGTCAATTTAAAGACAATGAGCGTCAAAAATGATTTTTTGATTGAAGATTATTTAGAATAAATAATCTTAACCAAGTTGTAGAATATGTCTCAAGGTTTCCGTACATATAAAGAACGTCGAAATCTGAGTTATAACAAAGAAGTTATGACCCGTCGAAGTTTCGCGACGGAACCAACACAATACCAGGAAGCGTAAATAGTGAAT